GATCAAAAAAGATCTTACTTATTAGATTAGATATTAAGATAGATATTTTAATAAGAAAAAAAAATAAACTATAATATTAATTATTAACATTTCAAAAAAAATGAATCTTCAAACTTATTACATTCCTTTTTATCTCTTACTTGTTGAATTCAACTTTTTAAACAAATGACCGTGCGTGCAGTTTCTGGTTTCAAATTATATCGAATCTTGGTAATTATATTTGATGTTATAGAAAATGCTTATTCTGAAGGTATACTAGAACCTTAAATACTTAAATAACATAATGCTATTTGTGAAAGAATAGGAAAATCACCTTCAAAATGTTGTCACCATTCTAATGGATTAGTAGTAATATCAATAGGTACTAATATATATCGAGTTATTTCATCATCTGTAGGTCTTTCTTCAGGAGTTTGATCAGTAAGAATAAATTCAAAAAATGATCTTTTATTTTCTTGTGATTATATATTAATTCTAGTATCTTCTAATTAATTATTAATTTTATATGATGGCATAAGATTTCGTAATGATGAAATTATTTCATCACGTTTATTATAATCTTGAAATATTTTTGTTTTGGATCGTGGATCTAATAAAGTACCAATTGTTGTTGACTTTTCTATATTATTCCAATATTCATTTAATTTGAAACTAATTAAATTAGCCATTGTAATATGGTTTAGGTGCAAATTTATCTAAAGTACTTTGTACTTTTTCAATTTTATGATTGTGTTTTGTAGTTAGATATCTTGCAAGTATATCTGCAATATTAAATAGTTTATAACAATTCTTACATATTATACAAATATATGTAATAATTTCTTGTTTATCATTATATTCTTTTGAAAAAAAATTCCAAACCCAATAAGTTTCACATGTAGTATTTGATAAATTAGATTCATTTTCTCATATAGTATTAATTGTATTTGTAATATCTGTACTTGCACTTGTAGTAGCTATAGTTGTAATAGTTGTAGGCATAATTAAATTTTCATTATCTTCTTGACTAAAAATTAAACTTTCTTCTCTAATTATATTTAATAATAATTCATTTGATTGTTCAGGTTTACTATTTGAAAGTGTTTTATATAAATTTTTATTCATTTTTTGTTTTTTATTCATAATAAATTTCGTGAACAAAGAAATCAAAATGCGAATGTAAATTATTATTTTATTAATTGATTAACCAATCAAATTACTAAAATAACTTGAAGCAACCCGGAGTAACCTGGAATAACCCGAAGCAACCTGGAGCAAAAATTATATAGTAACCCAGGTTATAATAAATAATTTGCTCTGGGTTAGTACAAAAAATTAGAAATCTTAACCCACTCCATGACGGAGTGATACATAACCCGAGTTGATGTCAGAACATTATGCTCCGGTTAATAACCCTACTGATGATTTTCTGATAATTGACCAATATTTGAAAATATCGGAAGGCCGATAGGTACCCGATAGATATTCGATATTCAAATTTTGACCTGTGTAATATTATATCGAAATTGTTTTATTTTTATTTTACTTTAATTAAAAGCTCAGGAATCTGGCATAATAAATGATAGCTTAACCAGTGGTCCTTCAAGGAGGGCAACAAGAATTTAGTTGGCTTCATAATCAAATATACAAGCTTAATTAAAAAACTAAAGAAACAATTCTATTAAAAAATTAGACAAAACAGCGGTACCATTTATTTCAAAAGATCTACTAAACATAAAAAGTAATATTAAAAACAATAGTGATATTAAAGAAATGAAAATTACGGTAACGATAGAGCAATCTGAAGTAATATTTAATAATGACAATGATAAAGATAAAGGAAAACAAATCGATATTGAAGAATCGACAATTGATATCAAAGAAAATAATGGGAATAAGTGGACTGAAGTAACTAACAAAAAGAAAAAGGCAAAAAATACAGATAATATGACAATAGATTCTGAAATAATAGAAGAAGATAAAGAATCAGTGGTATCATATGAAACTGATAATAGTTTTCACCCAGACTGGAGACAAGATTTCAATGCAAAAAAATTCAAAATTTGAACTCACGCTAAAAAAATTCCTGAAAAATCTGCAGGTGAAAAAATTAAATTTGTTAAAAAAATCATTAGAGAAAAAACTGAATTAACCCTAGTCAGATTAGAAAACAATAGAAAAGATAAAATGATCTCTATATTGTTTGATAACAAGGAAAATATGCAAGTCACACTGGAGGTAAATGTAGGCACAGATGTGTAATTGCCTACCTATATGCATAGGGCATAATCATATAAAATCAATACATTGAATAAAAGGAAAATGGGTATTAAATTATGGGACATCCCTATTGGTGTGAAACATAATGAATTAAAAAGTGAATTAGAAAATATATATAGCAAAGTGGAATACTTAATATTACATCTAACAGGAATGTGGCAATGGGCAATCGCTATCTTTAAAAAAGAAGAAATAACTAAAGAACTTCTTAATTAATGGAATATAATCATTGGTGAAGACTCACTCTGTGTTATACCTACTGATTGTAATTATAATAATCTTATGTCACGTGATAAATTTGCTGTAAGGATGATCAATTTACCTTTTGGTATTACAGCAAAAGAAATTATTTCTAACATCAAAACTATTGGTACACTTACTTGCTATATCCCTAGGTCTCGTAATTATAGACATAGAAGTGAGACAATTATTTCATTTGAAAGTGAAGAGGTGCTAGAATCAGCAATTGGTAAAGAGTAGAAAGCAGGTGAATTCAATATTAAAGTCACAAGCCTGGTAGCGAAAACATGTTACAGATGTCACTCTGAGGAACATATTACTAAAGATTGTCCACGCTTAATAAATGAAAGGAAAATAGAAGAAACAAAAAATGAAAACTTCTTAAAATTTAGAAATATTTACAAAAGATATAATCCAAAATTATATATAAACTTAAGTAAAAATTTGGCAAAAAATCATTTGCTGATGTATTAAAAAATAATAACAATAACAATAATATAACAATATATACAAATCAAAAAAAAATTATAGTAAATGATGAGGTAAAAGAAAGGTTAGACAGAATGGAACGAATTATCACACAACTAGTCGATAGATTTAATAAATTAGAGAGCTTTTTACAAGACAAACTCAATCTTAGTCCTGAAACTAATTAATTTCATAGTGATTACAATGAACCTGAGGTTGATTCGCAAATGGATTTTGATGAATTAAATTCACACAATGCGGAAGGAAGCGCAGAATTGAAAAACAAAAATGAAGATAAGTTTGGGAGACTATTACAAGTGGTAGAACAAGTTGACCAACGTATGAATACACTTGAATTTAGTATACATGCAAATGAAAATAAAAAATATAATAATAATAACAATAATAATCAATATGAGAATTGGGAAGTCCCATTACACCTGACATAATTTAATAGACAATTTTTATATAAATTTTAACAATTATAATGGATAACAATAATAAAAATATAAATAACAATAATATAAATATAAATAGTAACACAATAGAAAATAATAATAATATAAATATTAATAATAATAAGTTAGATTTAGATTCAAATTTAAATCATAATAATAGTGAAATAATAACTAATTTAGATTTTAAGATAGTTACACATAACGTACGAGGATTTAACGATACAGTTAAACAAAATTTGTTTTTTAACTATATCAAAAATAAACAGTTCGACATAGTAGGTAGAGCAGAAATAAATTATGGTGAAAGCAGGGGACAGTGGTATAAAGACAATAATGATAAATTTTGTATCCACTGTTCGGACAATAGAAAAGAAGCTGGGGTAGCTTTAATAATTTCAAAACCATTAAATAAGTATATTTGTAAGAAAAGAGAATATGAGGGTAGAGCAATTTGTGTAGATTTAGTCCTTTCAAGAAAAATGACAATTTGCATAATACAAGTTTATTTACCAAGTAAAAAAAGTGATAAAGTTAATATAATTAACTGGATTAAAACCCAATTAAATGAAGCCCAAACGAAAAAGAAAAAAGTTATTGTGATGAGGGATTTTAACGCAGTACCTTCGCTTGCAATAGATCGAAACAACAATAGTTATTCACATTTTCCAGAAAGCAAAATTTTTCTAATACTAAGTAGTTATAACCTAATTGACTACTATAGAATAATGTTCCCTGAAAATACAGGATATATATGGAAAAGAGATAATTCAAATGAGGAAAGCAGAATTGATGCAATTTGGATGTTACACAGATGAAGTGATATAATTACATCATGTTTTTTAGACAACATTAAGTTGATAACAAATAGTGACTATAAATTATTAGGTATTATAATGTCAAAAAAGTGACACATAAAAGGGAAAGATGAGGAAATTCATGCTAATAGACCTAAATATAATATGAAACTGATGGATGAGAAGTGATGACTAAAATATACTTGCACGCAAAATTATTTTGGGGCTCCGAAATTGCAATTTCGGGGAAAAAAGTCGAAATAGTTTTTCATAGAAGACGAAATTATTTTACTTAAAACCTGAAA